TGTGCAGAATGCAGCTTACCTGGCAAATCAGGGATTTGGTGTAACTGATGCTGTTCGTGAAGCCTTAAGGAATGCTGGTTATAATAATCAGACAGTGAAGAAAGTTATGATCCAATCAAAAGACAGTTCAGTTCTGAAAGAATTTAAGAAAACCCGCTATGAACTTGTTTATAGGGTTGCTGATGATATCAGTGATATTGAGAGCTCAACTATATCCGAGATCAAGAGCTTTGCTAGTTCTGTAATTTTAACCAAGAATTCTGTTTTTCCAAGTGAGAGTAAATTTCTTGTTGGGAAAACAAATGTGGTGGAGAAACTGCACTCATCAAATCTCTCAGTATACGTTCAACGCTTTAACAATGAATTTGTGTCTCAAGCATGGGATTTTTTCTCAGATTCATCTGTAGAGATAAACAATTATTTCATTGGAGCTGGCATTGATGGTGTTATAACAGATTTCCCTCGTACAGCTGCTAGATACAGAAGTAAGTAATTCCTTTACTTACATCGCATTCCACCCCTAGCTTCTCTTTATTTATTGCTCCCTCATTTTTTGTGCATATCTGAAATTCATGTACATGCAAAAATTTCCGTCTACCTGTGAAAGTAAGCTGCAATCTGCCATATGGTGCTTTTTCTTGTGTATTAAAGTAAAACTACTACTGATTTGGGCATGTAGTGATTGTATTTGGAAATAGCACTGATTTGGGCAAGTATGGACTTACCCTGTGATTCAATACTGAGATATATTCATGTGCTGGGTTATAGGGAACCGTTGTTTGCGTTACAAAGTCCCACCACTGTATTTTAGCCTTGTTAGTCCTGGAGTTCTCCTACAATTCATGTCTCGTCAATCTTTGCCACCAGCAGAAGCTCCCAGCCCAATACTTACGGAAAGTGATGTGGTTGAACCACCTCTACCTCCTGTTGCAAAGATAACCCCTACTGCTCGCAATGAGTCTACAGCTAATGCAGCTCCCACCTCTCCAATCGGTCAATCCTCAGTTGTAGCTGGCGTTTTCACATGCTGCCTCACCATTCTTCTTGCTGATCTTGTCATCTTTTGATCTCAGTAAGACCATTTTGTGCAATTGTATCTCCATTTTGCAGGTAAATTTCATTTTAAAAAAAAATGAGTAGCCTATATTTCGTTTATTAGGTCAATCAGTTAAATATTAAGAATGTAATTAATCTAAAATTATGTTAATCCTTTGGTAATGAGTAAAACATGATAGGAACTTTTTGTTACCAAAATATTATAGCAGTGTTAAAAGAGATTAGACTAGCCCTTACCGAGACAATATAAAATACTCTCTCACTGACCCTCCGTTTTTCAACTAGTATGTCGTCTACGTATAATATATGCAATAAAGTTTTTAACGAGTGATTTTCAGCTCCTTTGATGAGAAATGTGAAACAAAAAAGAAAAAAAAAAGATCTCCCGTTGGGAATGATACCCGAGTGACTGAGTCCTTGGGGGAGAGAGAGAAAGGAGGCATTACTCCCAGAAAACGTGCAACCACCCTTTCCTTCCCGCTTCTTCCTTGAGATTCAATCTCATAGAGTTCAATCGTTGTATCGAGATTGTTTTTTTGGAACTCCTCGATAAGCATCATTTTGCTTGTAGATCTTATATGTAAGGAGTGAATTTTATATACAATACTCCCTTCATCTCAAATTAATAGTCACTTATACAGTGTATTAGAAACAATCCTTCTATCCCATAAAGATAGAAATAAAATTTGTGTATATCCTACCTTTTTCATACTTCACTTTATGAAATTACGCTGGACTTGTTATTGTTTTTGCTCAAAAATATTATCCCAAAATGATTATCATTTTAAGAGTAAAGTTGGTTGTTATTTCCATTGTACCCTTAATATTAAGAAAAAAATTCCTGATGCATGGTTTTGACTTTCTTATTACTTTTTCTAGTGATATTTTTTAAATATTTCAGAAAATAGCGACATTATGTATATCAAATGAATGTTATATAGGCCAATATATATCAAGAAGATTAAGAAACATAAAATAAAAAAAATAAAAAAAAATGAAACTAATTGCAATTGACTTGATGAGAGAAACAACAATAATTAGAGAAAGAAACAATTTTATTGAATCTTAAAATTTACAAATACAGTGGTAAATTAATGAATTAGTAGAAATAAAATTTTGAAAACCACTGTTTTACTTTTATTTTCTTTCCTTCCCCTACATTTGCATCCTTTGGTCCATTTCCAAGGCTTTAATTCTTCATGTTTTGGAGTCTCTCTGCAAAAATAGAACATATTAATGTGTTATAAAATCATAACTAACTTACTATTATTAAACGTTAAAATCACATAACATATAGTATGTAAAGAAAACTCGATTCTAAAATAAGAAGATTTCGTCCATCAAACAGAACATAGAGTGAACCTTTTAGGTACGTTATATACCTTTGAGCAATTTAGCTGTGCAATCTTCATCGCACTTCATCTCACAATGTGTGTAACCAAATCCTGCATCGGAGCATACTTTTTGACAAATATTGTAACAAACTGTGTATTCAGTTGCAACAGCGTTAAATGCTTTTTTAAATTTTTCCGCGTTACTTTCTCCGTCAGCCATGGAGACGTGTACAGATGAAGAAATCATAACGATGCAAAGGAGAAACATTGCAACAAGCTTCTTTGATGCCTCCATTTTTTAAAAAAGAAAATAAAATTAGTGCTTGTTGCTTGTGTTTCTTTTATTTTTTTGTTGGACGATTTGTTTATGCTATTAATTCTCCTATTTATAGTATTTCATTTTGAGAATACACCTCAAATTAATATGGTGGATATCCAATTTTGTAGGATATTGGGGCACTCTTAAGTTTTTTCAGATGGTTTGTTTGTGTTTTTATTATTCATTGTCAAAAAAGTGTATATAAGATCCGTTGAAAAAGGAAAAGAATACTATCATTTTTATCTGAGATCATCTTATCAAAGATATCATCGGAATCAGGCTCAACAAGCTCTAATTATTTACTTAATATTGATTCATTTCAATTGTTTTTAGCTTATCAATTATTTTCATCATTCTTCTTTATTATCTCGGAATTACAATTGATTCAATTCACGTGTCTTTTAAATAACACTTACAAATTTAGTTATACTTTTTTAAAGGATAAATAAGTGCAATAATTTTTACTTTTTTATATATATATTCTTGTGCAACAATAATGTTAGTATTTCTTCTGTCCCAATTTATATGTCTTAGTTTGACTTGACACGAAGTTTAAGAAAGAATGACTTTTGAAACTTATGGACTAAAATAAGTTATAGATATTTGTGTGACAAGAAATTATTTTATTAAGGATAAAATTGGCATTTTAAAGTTAAGTTGTTACTCACTCCGTCCCATATTAGTTGATCATTTTCTTTTTCTACACACATATTAGAAGGAAAATGGTATAAAATAGCAAACTGTTAATTTAAATTAAATGCTATAACCACAGTTTGATTTAATTGTAACTCGTAGCAAACTGTTGCCATTTCGCCTCTCTCCCTGATTTTTTTGCTCGCCAATCTCGTTTCTCGTTGGGCAGTCTCTCATCGCCTCTCTCACTTTATACAAACACAAATGTATAAAATGTGTTTGTATTTGTATAAAGCGAGAGAAAATTGTATATACAAATAGAAATACATATATTTGCGTCCTATACACTTATGATTATACAAATACAGATCTTCCCCTACCCAGTTTTCTTTTGTCTTTCTCTCTTTCTCGCTTTATACAAACAAAAATTATACAATTAATTCTTTTGTCTATGTATACCGAAACAGATTATACAATTACTTCTTTTGTATATGTATAGCGAAATATACATATTAATAGTCATAACAAACATAAAGTTTATTATGGAACGCAATTATGCAAACTATAGCTATAACATACAAATATAATTTTTAGATTTGCTATATATGAAAGTTACTCTATTAAGAAATCATAAATAAGAAGATAATTTTATCAATTTACTCCTTAAAAAACTTGATGAAAATCTTGCTATACAAACAAATGTAAACACTAGTCATTTAAATATGGAGAAGATCCTACAAAGTAATTTTTGATAAAGTCGCTTTGAATTTAAATCTAGTCGTTTAGTTTTAAATATATGTCAAATTAAGTCCTAAATCGTTTTGAAATTAAATTTTATTATTCTAATGAGAACAAATTTTTATGCAATTACTAGTTAATTTGAGTATAGAAAATATAGGGTTTTGTTAATTTTGACTGTGGATTTTTTTAATCTCTACAAATCAAGTAATTCATCCATTAGAGGTTTGAATTATTTTTTTTTATAAATAATTGGTTGATAGGATCAGGTTAGAACTACGAGTGGGTCATCAGTATTTTTTTCCAGTTGGCATTTTGTGTACCTAAAATTAGTCAAGGTATTGTCCTACTTGACATTAAAAAAAATAAAAAATTAATAAAGACATCTAATGATAAAAAAAAAGAAGCTTTTATAACGCATAAAACTATAATTAAATGACCTTATAGGAAATCATATAAAGAAGAAAGATTCAAAAAAATAACTTTAATGAAGTCTTCTCAATACACTATATCGATAACTAACTCTTCTTATTGAGTTTACAATATTTTAATTAACCCTCCATCTTATTATAATATAAAATAAAAAAGATGTAACAACATGATGGATCATTGTACAGTGGGGAACATGCCAAAATGGGGGACTCAAATTTGGGTTCTTTGGAATTTGGATTTATTGAAAACCTTAAAAAAATCATCAAGAAAAAGGGAATAACAAAAGAAACAATGATGATTCTTAACTACTTGCAATAAAATGACTTTAAAAAAATTAACCCAGTTTTTATCCTTTTAAGTTTGTCAAAAATAAAGATTTGATCTTTATTAAATATTTATCAAATTCAAATAGATAAGATTGATTTTTTACAACAAAAAAATTATATTGTATCATAGATTTAAAAAAAAAACATAAACCACAAAATATGTACTTCTGAATGTGAGTGCCTTTTATATATCTTTTTATTCAGAGTTTGATAAATATCTGATAAAGACAAAAATTACGAACTTTGACAAACTTAAAAGATTGAAATTGATCAAGTAATACCAAAGGGACTATTTTGATCCTACTACCAAAGTTAATTTAACTATTTTTGTCATTTTTTTGACACTAATAATCAAGTCCAATTCTAGCTTGTGACCTCCAATGCTTAGCTTTTTCAAATCCATTAGTATAATTATCAAAATCTTCAACAGTTTGATCAATCTCTTGTTGTGTATTCATCACAAAAGGCCCCAATTGTGCTACTGGTTCACCTAATGGTTCACCACCAACCAATATAAACCTTAATGGCTTAGTTGATTTGTTCCACGCCTCGAGTCCATCACCAGAACCACTTAATAAAAGTAGATTATGTGCACCTATTGATGATGATTCTTCATGTGGCCCAAAAATACCTTCACCTTCCAAGACATATACAAATGCATTGTATGATTTTGGAATTGGTTGTTGAAGATGTGATCCTTGCTTTAAAGTGAAATCCAAATACATTGTTGGTGTTCTTGTATATATGGCTGATTTTGCTCCTAGTGATTCCCCTGCTATAATTCTCACCTTGATCCCATCTTTTGTTGCTTCTGCTATGTTTTCACTTGGTATCTCTTGGTATCGCGGTTGTATCCTGTTGTATACAAAGCACATGTTTAGATAGAGACGTAGTCTAGATTTGACTTTTATGAATGACCTAAAGCTATTGGATCTTGAATTTAGTTGATCAAGATCATGTCTTTTGCACTTGTAGACGGATTTGTCCCATTTTATGTGAGGTAGTTTGATTCGGCACGGAGTTTAAGAAAGAAAGGAAGACTTTTAAAACTTGTGGTCTAAAATGAACGATAGAAATTTGTGTGACTGTAAATCATTACATTAAAGGCAAAATAAACCTTTTATAGTTAAATTGTTACTTAATATAGAAATGTGTCATTCTTTTTGGGACTGACTAAAAAGGAAAGTAAGTTATATAAATTGGGACAAAGGGAGTATTATTTATCGTAATTTCACTAATATTTCACTTATAGTTATATTTATTCCATATAGATATTATTGTTTCACCTTGTTTGTGTTCCCACTTGTAATCCTTATAAAAAGATGCCCTAGGACACATGTAAGCTTACAAATAATTATTTTTTAGATGATCTGATAAAATAAAAAAGGAAGTATAATATCGATGTAAAAGTTAAAATCCTTTTTAGTTAATTATAAAATAGAAGGAATAATAATGCATACATTTTATGTTTGGAGGAGAGATTAATCCACAATTGCAAACCCTTTTGAGTTCCTTCAGCAGCTGGCATTTCAGAATGAACAATTCCTCTTCCAGCAGTCATCCATTGTAAATCACCAGCTTTAATTGTACCTTTGTGACCTTCAAAATCTTCATGTGTCACAGCTCCCTATTTTGACAAATCGAGAAAGGACAATTTTTTTATATATTATATCCTTAATTGATTGCTTTGAAAAAAGTAAAATTTCTTGAAAATTTTTAATTTTTAATTCATCTATTTCATAATTAATAGGGGTAAAATGGTAAAACTCACTATGTCAATCATTATTTTCTTAATAGATGTGTCGATTAAAAAATGAACAAGTAATTAGGGACAGAGGGAGAGTAGTAAACTATTAAAATTGTTCATCTAATGATATTAGAAAAATAATTTTTTTTAAAATCCATTTATTTTCTCATTTGTATTATAAACTCTTCTAGAAGAAAGAAACATGTCATAATTATGTACTTTTTTCGCCATTGCTCCACCACACAAATGCACTATACGTACTAAATGCGTCATTTTTTTAATTATTATTTATTTATTTCAAAGAAAATAAGCGACATATCATGTGAATCTGTTTAACTTGATTTGAATTTTTTTTTTTAGAAAGAAAGACTTTTGAAATTTAATATTTAAATAGGTCAGAAATTTGTGTGGTTATAAATTTTTTAAAACGTGTGGGTTTACATACTCCTTTCGTTCAATTTTGTGTATTTATAATTTTTATCAAAAGTAAGTTGAGAAGTTTGAATTAAATTATTTTCAACTTTAGAAAATATTTTTGTATGAAAAAAACAAACTAAAAAGAATGAAGGATCTAAGTAGTTAATTAAAACAGAGAAAGTAATATATATGAAATAATGAAAAAAAGAAGAGACTTCCTTAATTAGCATTGGTATTTATATTATATTCCATAATTACCACTTAGTTGAATTTTCTTAATTGATCCATATCTGTCACCAGCACTAAACTTTGATATTTTTTAAATTTTTGTAAACAAGTGGTAGCATATTAGTGGTTTTCTTAGAAGTTAGACAATCACATCTTCTCAACAACTGCCTTCCAAAATGTGGAAATAAATAAATTAACTAATACAGTAATTCATTAGTTTAGTGTTTGACAATTCACATAAACACTGTATGAACACGACCATAAATGGAAAAAGTTATGATTATGTCTGTATTTAGTTATTTAATTAAAAGAAGAAACACAATTACTCTTATAAAATAATAATAATACCTGCAACATGTATGTGACCGTTTCAAAGCCTGTAAAATTAAGAAACACACAAAGTACAAAAATTAAATAGTATTAGTAAAGAAAAAAAATTAGAATATAAATTATAATACACCATAGGTCAGGTCATCTTTATTTGTTATAATATAATAGTCCTCGGGGATTTATTTTCAAAATTACAAATTTGCAATTTTTAAAGAAGTTTGTATATGATAGATATCGTTTATTATAGTCATCCATGATTTATTTTCAAGATTAAAAATTTCAATTTTAAAAGAAGTTTACATATAATTGATATTGTTTGAGTGAGCTGATAATGTATATAGCTTAAAATAGCCGAGAATTAATTATTAGAATGTGACCTCTATGTGGATGATCAGGAAAACCAGCAGGAGCAGAAACTGAGAATTCATCCAAAACAAGAAAAGGATCAAAATATCTCAACTCAAACCTGAAAAAAAAAATATCAAAAAAATAATTAATCCTCTTGGTGATAATCAATGTGCATTGTTTGTAGCAGTGACTGAATCAAAAATTTCAATAAAGAAATTAAACATTTACAGTATACGTAAAGGAAAAAAAAATGACATTATATATAGTAAAATTTTTTGACATACCTTCCGATGCTTCGTCTGACAACGGCACCAAATCCTTCATGTTGTGGCCTTGCAAGAAATTTCTTGACGATAGAACGCGGAGGCATTTTTTTTAAATTTCTATGATGATGTTTTTATTTTTATACCATATGGTTTTGTGTGTAAATTAGTGAGCATATTTATAGGGGATGTTGGTTAGTTGAAAATTGGGAAAGTCAAAATAAAAGATGATTTTATTTATTTTTTCTAAATATGGTTCTCACGTCACCCTAACGTTTTCATGATGTATTTGCCAATCTACTTTTTAATTCATTCAATTCACATTGCCCCCCACCCTTTACCTGTTCTATAATTTATTTTTCTTTTCCCAAACACATCATAATATGTATAATTTAATGACAAGTTAACAACCATTATGTAGTGCAATAATTATTTTTTAATTAGAGGTTTTGAGTTTGAGTGTTAGGTATGAAAAATTACTTGGTAGAAAATGTTTCTCCCTAAATGAGACCCTATATAATGTAAATTTGAACTAGTCGGACACCAATGTAAATATCAAACATCGGATGAAAAATCCAGAAAAAACAATAACGAGAGGTTAACTATTTACTCCTAGAGTAATAGATTTTTGAGAACAAGTGTAATTTTATTAGAAAATATTAAATAAGAATACTTTATAATTTTTTTTGATTTCCCACCCGGTGTCCGAAGCTCACATTAGAGCTCCAACTAAATCTGGATCGCGCTCTGCAGGGCTCATTCGGGGGTGGCGCTCCCAACAAAATTTTCTCCATGGACTCAAATCCGAGATCTCTGGTTAATGGTAAGAATACTTTATGATTATGTGTTCAGATGTTTAACTATCATACATTATTTTAAAATTTAATAAATTCATCTATCATACATTATTTTAAAATTTAAATAAAATTTATTGACAAATGTAAGAGATGTATTAAGCCAAAAGTTTAAAATGTTTGAAAATTTATATTTTTATTTGATTAATTATATGGTCAACATTTTCCCTTTTCCTTTATATGCAGGCTTTGATTTCTTTATTATGGATCATAACACATTATTTCCTTTTTAAAAAATTTATTTTTATAATGAAATAATAATGAGATGAAACACCAATATAAGACTTTTATATGTTTTGATATCTTCGGAGTATTTTTTTTTTGAAGAGAGTATATTCTTATTTAATGATATCTCCTTAATATCTAAATTTTTAAAACTATCAATAAATATTTTAACATGTAATAATCAGTAAGTTTTAATATTTGTACCAATTATTAATTATTATTATATTCACTTTATTTTTATGTTGACATTAAACTGGATATAAAAAAATTTCAACAAGTTATCCTTCATATGGAACATCAAAGTGTAAAAGAAAAGCAAAATGCTGAGAATTTAACAGCTTTTTTCCAATTCCTTGAAAAATAAAATTATTCTTTATCTATTAAGCAAAAACAAAGTTAAAATATTCCAAACGTATTAAAATGGATTTAATTTGCTCTCTTTTCATTTATTGGATCATAATTATTTTAATATTAAATAAATTTGAATAGATCGAATTATTTATGGATTACTCTAATATTTACATGGACAAATAAACTAGTACAGTCATCTTACATATGTCATCTCATAATTTTATGAAAAGATGAGACATTTTTAATCATAAAACACAATTGGATTTAATAGGTGAAAAGCGACATCTTAACTTAAAAATTAAAGGCAATTATAGTCGAATTAATATTAAAAAATAAATTTAAACTATTTTCAATACGTTGAAAATAAAAATATTTTCAACTATTTTTTCTTCATGGCGTGAAAAGCAGAGAACTTAAGAAACTAGTATTTGTTATTTATAAGTAATCTACTTGTCTAAATATATTTTACGCAATCAGTATATAAAGTTTAAACTTTTTACTTAATAGGTCACTTTCAAATTAGAATAAACATTTAATTACAACGTATACAAAACGAGTATGACGTAGTAATATGAGAAAATATGTATGCCATCATAATTCTGTTGAATTTAAGGAAAATATGAATTAGTTACATCGTTTCTAAAAAGTTTGAAAAACATGTCTAATCAAAATTGTCTTTGAACTTATCCAATAAGTAATTAATTTAATTTAATAATTATATTGAATTTTTTGTCCATAGAAAAAGGGATATAGAGGAGCTCTAGTTGGATTAAAGGATAAGAACAAATTATAATTAATTTAATTTAATTTACGTACATGTTCTTCCTTATGTTTTAGTCAGAGTATTTACCAAATTTGAATAATTTATAACTTGGACGTAATAGAAAAGGGAAGGAGGACAAACTATATAATATATTTTTTTCCAATGGAGGTGGAAATTCTTTGTTCTTTTGGGTAAAATTGACGTAATGCAATAGATAACTTTCACATTTTAAGTAGGATATCATAACTTAAAAGATAGAGTAATAACATATTACAATTTATTTATTTTATTTTGATCTGAGACATAGTGTTAAATTAAAACAAAAAGATTGTTACAAAAACGAAACTAATATGATTTTCTTACACAACTCTTATATAGTAATAACATTATATATATATATATATATATATATATAGTTGGAGTAGTCAATCTATTATATGTTTGGAAGTATGTTATTATATAAATTAGAAAAAAAAATCAATAAAAATCAAATAAATCCAAACTATCTATTAAAAAATTAAAGCAATAAAATATCAATTTAGTTAATTTTAATTTAATAGTAATATGTTGGAGTAGTCAATCTAATATATATTTGGAAGTATGTTAGTCTTATATAAATTAAAAAAATAATCAAACAAAACTGAATAAATCCAAAATATTCATAAAAAATTAAAGCGATGAAAAAACAACTTTATTGATTTAGCTTAATTTTAACATTTGAAAATTTTAATTCTTTTTAGAAAAATCGATTCAAACCAAACTCGAACATTCGTGATTATTTGCGTTGTATTTCTCTTTGTGAGGTCTACTTGGCATTCCCTAAGCCATCAAATATTTCACAACACAAAAATCACAATGAGAAGATAGTGAAATGTGAAAGAAACACCGATAAGAGTTTTGTGGTGGAGTGGTAAGTACTCTTTCATCCTTAACTAAGAAGTCTCAAATTCGAGTCTCTTTGGGTACGTAGTTGCCCTTATTAGGAAGTACTTTTACCCCAATGTAGAATTTTCCGAGGCGAATTCAAATTTAATCAGACTCTAATCTGAATACCGAACATATTGAACACGAAATTTGAAGAAACAACAAAATAGCTTGATTTTATGAAGGAGATTAATGCCGTCTAACAAACTCCTCAATTACCCATTACCTCTTCCAACACGTCTTTATAATTCTAATTCCCTTTTATTACTCTCGTTCTTTAGCACCAAATTTTCAAACTAAATTAATTACTTCCTTCGTCACAATTTATATGAATTAGTTTGACCTGCTACAAAATTTTAAAAAGAAAAAAATACTTTTAAAATTTGTGATCTAAAATAAGTCATAGATATTTGTATGCTAGAAATCATTTCATTAAAAATAAAATAAACATTTTAAAGTTAAATTGTTACTGAATATAAAAATGTGTCATTTTTTTTTTGAAACAGACTAAATCATATAAAGTAAGACAAATAGAGTACTTTTAAAAAAGGTACAATTCTCCCCAACAATAAAAGTTATTATGATGCGATTGGAAAATCACGAGTTTAAAGTTTAAACTATGAAAAATTATCCTCCTATTTTACAACAATGAAAACAAATAATTTATTAAAAAAGTATAAAATGAAGGCAATAAATCTAAATCCTTTTTGAAATTTGGATATAAGCAAAAATTTAGTGTGTCAAATTTTATTAATTTATTTTTAAAGATTTTTTAAAAGAAATTTTATAAATTTATTTACACTTCAGAAAAACTTAATTATAAAAAAAAATGAAAAATTATATTTTATTCTATTTTAATTTTAATAAATAATTTATCGTAATTATTTTTAGACGAAGGGAATAATAAACAATTTTTAAAAGAATCTTGTAAAGTAGGGGGAAATATAAGTGATTTAGCAATGTGGGAATAAATGAGGAGGGAATCAAAAGCGGCCCAATCATAAAAAGACGAAAAAAGACTTTTACGTATATGTGATGTCATACTTACATACTTCCTTCATGGCTTTTCGAATTTTGAAATTCAATAAGTTTTTTTTTCGTAAGTTTTTCATAAATATTTTAAACATTTTGAATTATTAATTATTGTGACTTATAATACTTTTTACATAGTTTACAAATATATAATTTTCATTTCAAAATTTTGAAGATTTCATGCATAAATTATCGATCAAATTAAATTATTTGACTCTCGAAAAACGAAAATATCATGTAAATTGAGATCGAAAAAGTATTTATTTGTATGGTTGATGTCATAAAACCAGAAGCATGACGACATTATTTGTTTCGAATTTATGGTGCTAATTAAAAAGGGATGGAGGGAAGTTGTAACTTGTACCAATCAAACAACTTGGCGTTGGATGGTTATATGTGGTATTGATTTATTTAGGTCCAATAAATATTTAAGTTCGACCAGAAGAGTGGTAATATTTAATACTTTTTTCATTTGATTTAATTTTTATATAAAAATAAATGTTTTATTTAATTTGTTTGTTTTAACATATTCGGAGAAGGGTCCAAAATATCTTTAAAGGATCTAACATATTAGAATGATGGGTAATGGGTTTAGAAAGGATGAGTCGATAGTTTTAGGATCTGACTCCTCTCCATTTCTCTACTCTCCATTTTCCCCAAGTTCCTACTTAGATGTATGACACTTGTATTATTTAAATATCAATGGTGCATATTTTTAAGTAATCAAATACCTTAATCCTGATTAAAAGGATATATATTAGCATTTAAATCTATCTAATTATTGCTATAAAAAACCATCTCACATTTTTTTCTCACCATAGTTCAAATCATTTTCGTTACCTATAGTTTTTTCATTCACAAAAAAAAAATGTTTCTTCATAGACTAAATTTCTGTCAATTTAAAATAAACATTTAAATAAGCTATTTTATGAAGAAAAAATATTGTAAATCATAAAATAGAATTTTTAGCATTCAGATATTAAATAA